AAAAATCACCATACTTTTTTTCTTTTCCTGAAGTGTGTGTACATTTTTTTTTTTGGGCAGGCTCTGTTTGTGGGAGAGTTCAATAAATAGTAATTCAAAGAATTACCCTTTGAGACATATGTGTGTACTATTTTAACAACCATTGAAAAGTTAGAGAGAAGGTACAAAGCAAAGGAAAAGAGGTTGTGCTATTAGGGGTGGTAAATTATGGAATGGAGAGTACAGAGAGGAAATCAATGAAATCTAAAGTTATCTGGTAAGGTCAGTTACTTTGACCCAACTTGAAGCAGCTGAATTTCTACGATGGTTTTCTTTCTCCTGATCCAGTAAAGTAGAAAGAAAACATGTTTACACAGAGAAATTACTCTGTTCATGTCCTGCTTTTGAGACAGGTGAGAAGCATCTGCCTCTCATTCTTGCCTGCACTGGCTGGAGGAGTGTGTGGCGTGACCAGCAGGTATCTGCCCCTCCCCCTTCCTTCCTTTTGCCTCTGCCTTGCCCCCAGTAGTCTGGGACAGTTTGCTTCAGTGTCTTCCTTGGTTATTTAGCAGCATCCTTCCTGTCTATCAAACCTCCATTCTCTACTCCAACATGAGTGCAACCAGACAGGCAGTGGTGGTGCCACTCCCCCACCCTCACCACTTCAGAGGCTACTGTTACCTTCATCCCATGGTAGTGTTGACCTACCATGGCTGGTGCAAGCTAGATTTGGCCAGTGATGGCAGCTGGCTGTGTCCACTGTTGGCATCTAGCATTACATGGCATCATCTGGTGACATCAGTGCCAGCAGAGTTGCACTTTGCCAATTCTAAATTGAGCAGAAGTACCCTAGGGTGATAGGCAACACCTTTAGCAGAAGGGAAGGTAGAGAGTTTGTTGCTCAGTTCCTTGGGTTCAAAATAATCTCTATGTCAGAGCATTATATTTTGGAGTGGTGTTTCTTATCCCCTTCCTACAATATTAAATTTAAATTTGGCTTAACTAGTTCTGATGTGTTTTACAATTCTGTGTATATGTTTGAAGAGACAATACTTAGGTAGTAAATTGTATCTGACACAAAAATTCTCTCCACCTTACTCCACTTGTTTTTGTATTAACATAGTGGCAAGAGTCTCAGGAATATGCAAGAGCCTGGTGTCTTAGTTATTTACTGTATCACTGGGGAAAAAAATACCTCACACCCACAATTTAAGAGAGAAAGGTCTGTTTTGGCTCACAGTTTGTAGAGGTTTCAGTCTGTATTCTGCTGCCTCAAAGACAGGATTCACGGCACATGGTGGAAGTGTGCTACTCATGACATCGTATCGTGCAGGCAGAGGGAGTCAAAGGGAGAGGAGGGGAAGAGAGATAAACACTTCCAGGTTGTGCTCACCATGACCTCCTTCTTCCAACCAAACTCTGCCTTCCTACAGCAAGTCAGCTATAAGCCCTCATAATCCGATCACATCCGCAAAGCCCTGCCTATGAGAGCATGAGGCTTTGGAGAAACACCAATACATAAACTATGACACCAGGGAATATAACTGGTAAAATCTCTATCGCTTCTCAGCCTTTTGGCTAAGATCAAGTGTCATAAAATCTCAAACTGAAGCAACAGTAAAAAGGGAGGAAATAGTTTCACATTTCAGTAAATCATCTCATTTGGAATTATGTAAGGGATCACAATGGGTCGGTGCAAGAAAATCATAAGTCTACCAGCTGATCCTCTTTCTCTGACTGGCCAATTGACTTGGACATGCCTACTTGGAGTAAGTTTTTATTTTGCTAAGAATTTCTGTCAACATTATCTTTTCACACCCTCTTAACAGAGCCCCAGTTTAAAAATAAGTCATTCACCATAATGCAGAGAGCCCCAAGAGTGGAGAAATAAATGATGAAGTGTGTAGGACCAGACACCAGGGATTCTTATATTCAAGCCTGTTCTTCCAAGTGCAATCTAAATGACCTCAGGCAAATTGCTCAGCTGTTTGAAGCCTGAATTTTCTTCTCCAGGCCAATATAAGTATATAGATCTTAGAGAACTATGAAAAGTCAAGATTTTAGAACATGATTGACACTTATAACTACTCCATGGATGTTAGTGATTATTATTTTTAGAGTGAATTGCATACATATTCTGCAGTCAAATGCTCTACTACTTAGCTACACCCCCTACATACAAATTCTGGCTTGCTCCCTTCCTGAAGGGGACTTTGTGAAAATAGCTTAATTCGCATGTCCTTTGGTTTGTATTCTTTAGTGATAATACCTAATATTGATTAAGGGTTTAAACTAATTTGTACATTTAAAGTACATAGTGTGGTACCTGGTTTAGGGACTATGGGTAGGAAACGTTACTGTATTCTTTTGGTAACAAAAGGCTAGTGTGGGTGGTACACGTCAAAGTGCCCTAGCATTCTTGAAAGTCAGAAAATGTTGTAGCTGGAATGATCAAAAAAGAGCTCAAAAAACCAAGTTAGAAAGCCAAGAAACCTCAGAAAACTAAGTCAGAAAATCAGCTGATGTAGGTATGGAAAGGCTAAGCTCCCAGAGGTCATGTAGCTGATACTAAACTTGAAATGTTATTACTCTAAAGGGACATCTTTTCTGAAATAAAAAAAAAACCATATGTATGGGTCTTTATGTGAATATCAAGAATGGCAGGGATTTCATTCTTGAAAATAAGTTGTGGTGATTTTAGAACTTAACCTAACTATTAATAAGGAGATCAACTAATAAATATTTGCTGAATTCTGGCCAGAACATAAAAGAAAATGCAGGAATTTGGGGGTCAAATAAAACACTTTTTGATTTTTAGAGTTGTCTATTTATTACCTTGATCAACTCACTTACCCTCTCTGTGTTTTGGTTGTTTTCAACAATGATATGGCATTATGTAGGATTAAGGGAGACAGTTGTATGAGACTTGACCTAATTAATTTCTGCCTTTTTTTAGATCTTTTGACTTTGTATACCTAAATATGGTGGAAATTTCAAAAAGTAGTTACTAAGATATTTTCCCCCATTACCTACTAAGTAGAGCCAGCTTTACTGGCTTGTTAAATTAGCTGAAAACAAAATTTATAGACATACAGATGATAGCTGGACAGATAGATCCAAAGAAGTGTTCCACAAATATAACATTCAAAATGAAAAGCACCATTATGAGGATGAAAAGGATGGCCCAAGTGTATTCCTGGTGCCAGAGGAGAAAAGACTAGCCCTGTTGCTGTGATAATTAACAAGTCTTCATGGAAAAAGTATCAGAACTAGATGACAAGAGCAGGGAAGAGCAAGTCACTTCACCCAAGGAGATTCTGCAGACCCTTTCAGAGCCAGCACATCTATCGTAGTCCCACAAGGCCCAGGTGCTGAGCAGTGGAACCCAAGCACTGGGTTCAGCTCTCCACAATCTCAGTTCATTCTCACATCAACCCTAAGGAGGTTGTAGCATTTCCTTTTCTAATCTGAGAAAGATGACACTTAAAAATGGAGCAGTTTCTCCAAGGTCACTCAGCAAGTAAGAAAGAGAAGCAGGATTTAATGGAAGGCTACAGACCCTGGGTTTGACAACAGCGTGCCTCAACGTGTCATCATAAAAGCTGCCATTGCTGATGGTTGCCTCCTCTCTCAAGCCTCCACTCTAGAACCACCACCTTCCATCCCCAAGTGCAGATGGTGCTTCCTCCACTTGCTCACCTTGAGTCCTATAGAGGTGTGCATTCCACAAGCTGTGGTACTTACATTCCACCTGGAACCTGACTCTCCCATTCAGTTGTAAGTCCCCATAAGACAGAGTGGGAATTAGTTATCATTTTATCATTCAGCTACCATTTATAGTTCCTAGTACCAGCTTAATAACTGTCTGGATAAATGCCTTTTACCTATCAAGCGCTCTCCCCAAAGCTTGGCAAACAAGTTAACTTCTTTGTGCTTCAGTTTCCTCACCTATAAAGTGAAGATGATCTCAATAGCTGCCACATAGATTTGCAAGGATAAGTAACTGTTATATCACTGTAATATTGGAAAGCACACAGCAAATACTCAGTAAATGTTCACTGTTATCATGGTCACGTTTGATTCAACAATTCTCCTTCAAATGAAGTAGTAGACTTCTTAGAATAGGAACTATGTCTAGAGACGTTAATTGCAGAAGATGAAAAGGCAAAGAAAGACCAGAATGTGCTGCCGGGAACTGAGATGGGATTTCAAACTCCCAAGTCTCATAGTGAGTTGCAGCTACATAAGGAAGGGCCCCAGCTGATTCTGTTATCTTCTATCATCAGCCTGGTGGGAGTAGACCATTACAGTGTCTGAGCCAGTGTGGTCCTAGCGTAGACTAGTGTTCCTCTCAGGACAGTCCTGCTCCACTGCTTGAAGAGGTTTGGAATCGGACACGTGATGAAGTCCATGGGGCCAGCGCTCCACACATGTCCTTGTTAGTAACAGTCACCAAGATGCCTTGCATAACAGCACACACTTCAGGATCCCTGGCAGTAGGCTCTGCACAAGGGATTGTTTTAAACTAGCACCGCGTGTGGGAGGAGGTTGGGGGTGTGTGCATGGGGGGTACTCATCAGGGAAGTTTGTGGAACTCTGGGAGAGAGGCTGAGCTAGACCTGACAGTGTGGGCAGCAGTGCCCACCCTGCAGGGGGCAGTCACTGAACATTGCTCTTAAATGTCTGCTCTTCTCTGCCCTCTCTCTGTAAATATGTCAGTCTTTTCTCCATCCGCCTCCCTACAATGCTCTGGCTGGGTCAACAGGGACCCTTAGGGCCCCCGAGTGGCAAGGGATTGTTAGGATGCTCTGGGCTAGCAAAGTCACTAAATCATTTTGCTCCCATACTTTTCTCCCTCACCAGAACAGCTATACCTGTGCTTTCACGAGGGCTGTCTGAAAAGGTCTGTAAGCACCAGCCACTAGAAGTGCTTTTTTCCTAGCATCCAGAGAGCAGGCTGAGCTGTCTCCCAGAGGAGGCTTCAGGAGGAGAGAGCAGCTGCGATGGTAAAAAGGGGACATTCACAAGCTTCCCAGGCAGCAAACTAGCGCGCAGCAGCCCTGCCCAGCCTCCGGCGTCAGCGCATGGAGCGCCCCAGCTCTCCGGGCAAGTTTCCTGGGAGTGTCCCTTCTCCACGGACACTGTGAAGTCTCTAGCTCTACAGATGTTTCCCTCGCAGCTCTGAAGTCGAAGTACTGTGCCGGCTGCAGCGCAGAGTCCAGGGCTGGGGCGTTGTGGCTGGGGGCAGCCCCTCCAGGCAAATGCCAAGATCAGCATGAGAGGCTGGACTTTAGCCCAGGTCTGTCCTCACCCCGGGGGGCCGCCTGCTTTGCACGCTGCATCCTAGAGGACCTGCTCACTTTCCCCCCTTGCAAGTCTTTGTTCCAAGGCAGACGTGGCTCGGATTCTCTAATTAACTCCCTCCACTCCAAAAGGGGTCCGGAGGCTGGGATGCTCTGCGAGCTTAGAGGATGTTGACTCTCGAGTGGGAGTCGGAAGGACTGCAAACAGTGGGTATTGTTGTGATTATATGTGCATCTCTGAAGCTGCTTCATTTGCTGGGACTGATTGATTTTTCGGAAGGTAAAGTGGTCGCTCCCAGTCTGTGCTCTTGCTCAGGTCTAGTTCTGAACTGGACACAGATGCTGCAGAAGTCGGAAAGGTTTAATACTCAAAGTACAAGTTTTAAAATATGCGAGCTTGACATAGAGCAGGCTAGAGACTGGCCAGTTCATTTCTCTTTATCCAAGTCGCTGACCATGGGAAGGCAGGGATTTTGTGCCATTTTCTCTCTATATGAAACATAGTTGGGTGTATAGCTTGCTTTTTGAGGGTTAAATAAATGTCTAAGGTGGGAAGTTATGACTCTGTTAGGGCTGATAATACAGGTTGGGCTTTGGCTGTCAAGTTGGTGTTGGCTACCACACCTTAATGTCATTAGTGATTCTAGCTTCTGGAAAAGGCTCTTGATTTGAGAAAGAAATGTGTATGTGTACCTCATTATCAGTATCTATGTGTGACTCATTTGTTAGTAGATGTGGAATTAGAGCTGGGTTGTGGATTATGATAGAACATGGGTAAGTGTTTGGTATAAGATGGAGTTAATTTCTGCTCATTTGAGCATCTATCTCCTGAGTGGGAACCCAGTTACACAGAGAAGCTACCAATATATTGCTACCAATAAGTATTTTGTCCATCTAATATAAATGTTACTTTTGCTATCTAAAATCCATTTGGTTATGACATTCAAAGATTTGAGACTGTAAGGAAAAAAGTTGATTAACTTTGCTGAACACATACATACTCAAGAAATAATGCCTTCACTAAAATAGATAGTTTGAATCATTGGATGCTAATTCTATATCCAAGCTCTCTTTTTCTTCCCAAGTGGAAGAATGGAGTCCCTGAAATACATGCTAATACTCCTTTGAGATAAGAATATGATCTTTTATGCTGAGTTATAAGTATTTGCGTCTCACGTTGTGTACAATGTCTGCAGATGGAAGGAGTGAAGCCTTCTCATCCTTCTTGTGATCTTTCTAACTACAGAAGCTAAGAGCTGATAGCTAAAATGGCATCATCCCAAGCTACATCTGGTGCACAGGTTGTTTCTGCTCATGTGTATGATGGTCAGTGCGTCTTCTTTTCTTTCTATGAAATACGTTCGCTAAGTTCCAATTATTCAGAGCAATATAAGGACGTAAGAAGTTCTCACGTAGTTTCCACGTCTTCTAATTATTTATAATCTGTGACAAATTCTGTTTGACACAGTGAAGATAATATTGTTTTAAATAACACTCCACAAAGTGGCTTATTTTCCTTCCCTTATATTGCATAGTACTTTTATTTAACCTCTTCAAGAAAAACAATACATAACCAAACTTCTCAGAGGGCTACAAATGTTTAACAAAAGATTAATGAATCTTTCACTGTCTTGAGAGCTCTGCCCCAGGGCAGGAGTGTTGATATCCTAATGAAATACAAATAGGGTATCTTCAATTTCTATGATTAGAGTAATTTAATCTTCTATCATTTTGTTGCCAGTCATCAGTGTTTATTCTCTGAACTTGGTTAAGTCAGCATTTTCAAAGTTAGTGCTCTGTGCTGGCTTGGTTTCACACCTGGGTTTTGAGGACCACCATGGAGTTACTTACAGACCTCAGCTTTCACACAACTGTGAGACAGTACATGATCTTTTCACTGCCAGTGTAGAATGTAGAAAACTTAAAGTCAAAAGTCTCACATTAGGCCCCTGGAAATGACTGTCTTTACTTCAGAAGTTCTATAACATATTATTTAAAAGTAGAGCGTTTGGAAGCCAGGCATGGTGCTGGACACCTATAATCCCGGCACTCAGGAGGCTGAGGCAGGAGGATCACTGTGAGTTCAAGACCAGCTTGGGTTATACAATAAGTTTAAGCCATGCCTGAACTGCATAGCGAAACCCTGTCTCAAAGAGAGAAGAAAAAGAGTAGAGGTTTTTGAAATTGAAACTTCAAATTTGAGTTCCAATAATGTAAAAGGTAGAACTATAAATCTGACTGTCCTTAACTAAAGTCAAAGAATTTTGTGCTGGTCTGAAATGTTTTCCTTGAGATGGATATCCAAGTCACATTCATATTCTTATCTGAATCAACTTTTTCTTTACATTCATCTATTGTTTATACATTCATAAATATGAATATGCCTAGTATTGCCTGATATTGTATGGAATATCCAGTAATCTGGGAAAACTTTAGATTTAATGCACCATGCAAGCCTTGATCATACTATAATTCAAGAATGCAAGTTATCACCATATGTAAGGCAAATCAGTCCTTGTTTGTTCTGAAATACATATGAAATGCTGATCTAGTCCAACTATTATTTTACATAGGCAATTAAAGCAACCCAGAGAAGTTACCTGGTTTATCAAAAGACAAAACTAAGCAGATGTAGGACAAAACTAAAGATCACTGAATCCTATACAGGCCCTTTCTTACCACAGTTCACTTTTACTTCTCTTTCCTCACATTGAGAAAATAATTAAATGAAGACAGTCAGGTACGGTGGTACACGCCTATAATCCCAGCACCTGGGAGGCTGAAACAGGAGGATCACCATGAGTTAGAGGGCAGCCTGTGTTAGTTACCGAGTGACTTCGAGGCCAGCCTGAACTATATAGTGAAACCTTGTCTAAAAAATAAATAAAGGAAGAAAGAAAAATAATGAAAAATTTCCAGACTTTTTAAATCTTGTCCTGAACTGGCCACTATCCTAGTGAAATATCCAAGGGAAATGCATTTACAGAAAATGAGATCACAAAATAGCCACTTAATTTCTTTTTTTTTTTTTGGTTTTTCTCTGGTACCAGGAACCGAACTCACGACCTTGCGCTTGCCAGGCAAGCGCCTTTGCCGCTGAGCTAAATCCCCAGCCCCTTAATTTCTTAAGTTTAACCCCAATCCAAGCATTGAGATGTAAACAATGGAAACTAGACCATCAACTCTCATTATAATACATTAGAGGCAGATTAAAACAAAGACAAGTGTTCTTCTGGGTCTCTTTTCCTGTAAGGTCTACCCTGAACTGTGGCCATGTATGACTCATATTCAAACATGATGAGTGGGAAGTTCAAGTAGAATACAGAGATGAGACCCAGTAAGGCGATGAGAATTCTGGCTTAGGCCTCATGCCTGTGTTCTCAGGCTATGACTGTGCCTAAGCAGAAACAGAACTTAGGCTTTTTAATTACTAGCAAAGTGGGGGATCAAGACAAACAAGTAGCTAAAAAGCAAGCCACAAAAAGTACACTTTCATTCTTTCCAGCTTTGAATAATAAAAAAGCAGACAGGGATACCTCTGTGTAGATGACTAAACACTTCACAGAGACTGAGCCACCTAGCAAATATAGCTCATAATAAACCTAGGAAATTAGCTATATTTTTCTGGTGAGGAAGTTAAGATGACAAGGCTCAGATCAGAACTTTCAGCTTCTTTTGAGCAACATTGAGTTTATCTCCTCAGTGGGCAATGATATTTCAATGGTACCACCATGGAGTATTTCCTCTGGTGTGACGCCATTCACCAGCTAAGACAGAAGATACATTTGAGTCTGTTTTGGTGATCAGCAGGATCATCTTAGTATTATCATCTCAAATGCTAGACAGAATCAGTCATGGATGGAAAAGTGTTAAGAGAAACAATTCTCCCACTTCAATTGGTTTCCAGTTTTGATAAAGTCCTATTTTTAAAAATCTCTTAAAATTGAAATGTTTGATTTAGGAAGCAAAAGTAATTTGTAAAGAGGATTTAAATGGCTAACGTGAGTTTAGTATAACAGTTTGAAGTTCTACACATATCTACTTATTAATAAGGGGGATGAAGCAAAACACAAGATTAACCTCATCTTTTCCTAGAGTAGCATATGATTTAGTCATATTGCATTGTAAACGGTTTACAGTCCTCTGGTGTTAACTGAGACGGTGGGAAGGTGCATGATGAACAGTAAAGGAAGATTCCCCCAGTGAGCTTCCACTCTGCAAGGTGCTAATTACCGGACAAACCAGCAAGAAACAATTGTTTGGCACAGCCCTAAGCAGTGGCCTGTGGAAGCATAGGTAGAGTGGAGCATTCTGGGAATTGAGCTCACCGGTACAGCGCCTGCCTGGCAAGTGCAAGGTCGTGGGTTTGATTCCCGGTACCGGAGAAAAACAAAACAAAACAAAAAAGTCTCTGGAAAATCTTCATAAAGGAGAACAGTTGCATAGGACTTAGAAATGAAAGGAGAAAAATTGCCCAAATTGGAGAATGAGGGAAGACGAATTCAAACTGAGCAAAGATTTTGAGCTGTCTCCTTAAGCCTTGACCATAGGTAGCTTACATGCATGAAGGCAGTGAATCAAGCGTGGCTTGTAAGGCATGGTTTTCAGATTTTAAAATGGGAGATGTGACTGGGGATATAATTGGGGCTTCAACCGTGGGAGGGTAGACTTGTTGCCTAATCAGTCAAATATATTGAGTCCGAGCCTTCAGCTATGAAGAAACACAACAAAAATGATCAATGTGTGGTGGGTCTATTAGCAAAGAGGTAAAAGAGGTAAAACTAAGTTCAAAGGAGAGAGGGTGAACACAGAGATACTTGCTAGGCTTCTGTAGCACTTTAGTTGAGTGACAAGAAAAACAAAAATCCATAGAATTCCCTCCCCAATAAAATGCTTAGCTTGAACTGTCAATTTCTAGTTTATCTAGAAATTCTCATTTAATGTGATATCTGTGCCCTAAAGCTTCTCGGAAAGAGCGTAATTGTATTTTATTTTAGGGCAACATTATTTGGCTTCAAATTTCTTTCTTATGAGAAATGAACAAAATGTGGAACTCACAGAGCCTGTACTTCTAGATATAGTAGCTGCATTTGGGATAGAAACTTAAAAATTCTGATAGATGTATGTGACATTTTGCATGGTCTCCTGATATTTTAAAATCTTTATTTTGCAAAATTTTATATATAAAACAAAGTAGAGGAAATAGTAAGAGTAGCAAATTGCTATATATCTCTCAGCCAGCTTCAATAATTACCAATATTTGGCCATATTTTTTCCTCA